ATGGGAGGTCCTAATGCACCCACCTTACAGTCCGGACCTGGCACCAAGTGATTACTATCTTTTCCTGTCCATGGCGAACGCGCTTAATGGTGAGAAGTTGGTCTCAAGAGAGGACTGTGAAAACTGGCTCTCCGAGTTTTTATCCAATAGGGACACAGCCTTATACTGGAGGGGTATAATGAAATTGGCTTTCTCTCGTTGGCCACAAGGTTACAAACTAAACGGCGCATATTTGACTTTAATCGGACAAATGTACACAAAGTTATCATATTTTGAAAAATCAGTAAAAAACCGAATGAACTTTTTACTTGACCAATATTTGAACGACTTCTCAACGCTAATACTCTAAGCATAATAAAGTGCGGTTAGTTCATGAATTTCTATGTCTGTAAACTATAAACAGACAACACATACTTATATACGTGTTTGTGGACGTGCGACGCCCACACACAAACCGTTTACATGGCGAACTTGCGTCTTCATTCAACTTTTCAGTTGGAAAAAATTTAATACTGAGTTATCAGTTGTCGCTTAAGCTCAGTGTTTTTTTTATACTTAAATGCTTACACTAAGCGGTTTAAAAAGATTGATGCTTTTCATGTACGAGTATGCTTGTGCAGTTGCAAGCACGTTCGTTTGGTCTTGTGTTGCAACAATTGTTGTTTGCTGCTTCGACAGATGAAATGATGAGTTGTAAAATAATTGACCGCTTTGGTCTTTAAAGGTCAGACAACTGGAAAACTTTTATATGTATGTAAATAAGTATGTATGTGTGAGCAACTATTTACGAAACATTTTTTGGTACTGGGGTTTGTAAGTGCAACTACGAGAAAAAATTTAATACTAAATATCAAATTCATTGCCTTAGTTTCAGATATCCAAGGGTGATATAATTCCATATTTTTTTTACACAAAAACTAGTTAATCGTCCAACTACTCAGGCAGTTGGTAAATTTTTAAAGAAAATGTAAATAGACTGTCTCGGTTACAGATACCGCAAGGCCCGCTCATCATCGAATTGCTCGTCTCACTTCAAATATATCCGCTGTAGGTAAAAGTGTAGCCGAATTTTCGACGTGCTCTAGAGGTGGAAGTTTCTTATGTGCCGCAAGTCACACAATTAATAAAAAAAAGTCCAGCTCATGCAACAATTGAAACCAGCTGACCATTCACAAAGCCGTATATATGCCGAGTATGCGCTAGAACAACAATTAGTGATTTTTTTAAACAAAATTTTCTTCATCAGTGTGGCATATTCTTCATTTAGGGGATACGTAAATAGCCGAGATTGTCTCATTTAGGACTCCACAAATCTTGAAATAATTGAAGAGAGCAACGGAAAGAAACTTACTGCCTGATCGGATCGAAGTTTGCAGAAATTCGCAAGGCGATCATTTCAATCATTCAAAATGTTGCGCATATAAGACTTTATAATACAAGAGGGAAAGTATATCAAGAAAAAACTTTTTTAAATGCATTTTATTTACGCTTATTCCATCTGTAAATCTGCTCCGCCCATAAATCATGCAGAGAAGATTTTCGACGCTGCAAAAGTAGTGATTCCAGCGTCGATGACAAAGAGCGTCCTGGCCAACCTATAAAGTTTGAAGATGAAGAAAAATCGCTTTGCTTAAAAACAAGCTACAAACGACGGAAAGGCATAAATAGGCGATTTTGGATCAAGACAACGCTTGGCCACACCCCACTGTAATGATCATAAACTGCCTCGAAACACTGAAATGGAAGGCCCGACCACACCCAACGTATTCTGCAGGCTTTGCTCTTTCCAATTACTGGCTTGGACTGATGTAGGACGATTTAAGGATCATAAGGTCTTATGAAGTGCTCGGACAATGATCCAATGAGGGTACCGAGGACAGAAAGGGCCTAGGTTTTAAACAAAGGGTATTCGAAAATTACCAGAGAGATGAAAACAGTAGTTGCTTCAGCATTTTTCTCATTTTTCTATAACAAAATACATTTTTTTACATAAAAACCGGATGAAACTAATTTGAACACGTTTTGAGCAAAAGGTAGATAATTAAATTTTTTTTTCGAAAATCAGTTTCCAAAAAAACACAAAATATCAAATGCAAAATACCTTTTTGAAGAACTGTTAGTACAATATATAAGTACTACTGGTTATGTTATTAGCAATGTAATATTCAAAAATCATAAATTTTTATACATTCAGCACTTTTGTTAATGGCTTTTCGTTAGCCAACTCATAAACAGCAACATTTAAACATACTTATGTTATGTACGTTAAGAAATTGTTGTTTAGTTTTGAAAAGTGCAATACACGTATGTCAGCATTTGAATATGACTAAGTAGTTATTTTAGTGGTTCTACCCTAACAGTTAACTAATACCCAATGGATCTGACAATGGGGAACAGCTGGCTTCATCTTGATTTGCAGCCAAATATTTTTTCTATAATTTTATATATTTACTTTAATAACTTCTACATGTTTTGCCTCGAATATTTAATTCAATATATATTTATTACATATTATATATTGCTGGTTTTTAAATATATTTCTCATAACTTTTGATGAAATTTGTTAATAGATACATTCGAGAAGTTTTCCACACAATTTTGATCAACTATCCTTTAAGAATATTTTATAACCACACCACTGTATTTACATGTTATGACTGAGTTGATCACTAAAAATTTTTTTTTAATTTTTATTTTAATATGAAATTGAAATTCACATACTAACCTTAGTTTGAGTACCAATAATCTATTAATATATTGTATTATATATTGACAATTTTCTGGTCTAGCGGAATAAAAGTTTCAGAGATATAGGCTTCGGAAGGTACATGCTCAAATGAAGACAGGCTCAGCACTTGTGGTTTTTAATGCGGTTTTCTAGAAACTATATTTCCAAGGATTTAGAAAAATAGTTTTATATCAATCACACCTATTTAAAATTAATATTTATATTTTTTTTTTTTAATTTATCCGAAATTTCTGGCAAAATTTGCCAATTATCCTATTTTCTCTTTTCTTAATTTTTCTTCTCTCAAATCCAAGTTTATTGCATTTTTACTTATACACAATTTTTTTTCCAATTGTAAGGGGTCACCGTCAATGATTTCACAGTGTCCGAGTTATATATAATTTCCTTAAAAAATTTCAGGAATTCCCTTTCAGATGTATATCTTTAAGGCCGTAAGAAGTCTGAATAAAATAGGTAATGTTTTTATATATGAAAAACTGTTCAAAATAGACATTTTTATCGAATAAACCCATGAAATATCTTAAGAAACATGACAAGGTCTTAAAATTCTAAGTGCATTTCGACAAGGAAAGGTAGATACACCAAACGCTATTTGGACAACCCTTAGTTAATATAATTTTTAATTACTGCAATTAGTGAAGTTCGGATTCTTGAGCATAAACAAAACAGGTTGTTTAAAAATAATGTAGAATCAAAGATAATATCATCGGCATATTTGAATTTTGCTACTTTTAAAAGCGGAAAAATGCCGCTTAAGTGTGGAAATATTGTGTAGAGTTTGTGATTAGAACTTCCAACTGAACATTAATGCCAACACTGCTCACAAATATGCCACGTACTGGTCGTCTACTGTATACTGTCTACTGCCCTCAAATAATGAAATTGTATTGTATGAAAAACGCTCCAAGCTGGCCAACCACAATGACTGGAAATCCGTTTAAAATTACCAAAAATCAATTGGGTACTCGAACTTATAGCTTTGACCTAGACTCATCAGATTAGCATTTATTTCACCCGCTTCGAAACTTTTTGAGTATTAAAACATTTGAGTGCAGTCAGGCTACTTAAAAAAAGAGTTGTAACAGTTTTTCGTCTTTAGAAGCAAAGTCTTTCTCAAAATTTTTTGGTTAAAAAAAGATGACAAAATTTGCTATGAAAATAGGAAAGAACAACCTCAGTTAGCGTACAGTTTAATATTTCATTGAATACTGCCGAAATTACATTAAAGCTATTAGACACAGAAATTTTTGTTTTGTTCGAGATATTTTGCTGGCAGGAAAAATCGACATTCACCTCGAAACTATTTGCAATAGTAGTATTCTCTCTTTTGAGAGTGCTTTCAAAGGACTCGGGTATTGTCAGCGGAGATTGATGTGAAAATATTGTGAAATTAACTAATCTTAAAAACGCTTGAAGTAAATTTTAATGCTAAAATTAAATTTGAAATTTCGACATGCAATTCGGAATTAACTAACTCCTGTGTCGGAATCGCCTCGAGGTATATTTTCATCAGCAAAAGAAGACAACAAACTTCCATAATTTTAACAAAAGACTTAAGAAACGAACTTTTATTTGGTTATTAAAAAAGATTGATAAATATCCGACTGTTACAAATATTCGAAATAGGTATTGATTTAGTTTTTTTTACAGCGTCCCTAACTGAGAAAAATGACAAGAGAACTGGAACTATTTGGAACTTTCGACTTCAAAAAAGAAATGGCATTTAATATTTTTTAAACCTTTGTTTAACTCCCGGGGTAACAAAATTCTCAATTTTTTAATATTTTAGTAAAATAAAAGGGGTTTATAATTTTTTTTAAATACGCATTTCAAATGAGTTTTTTAGTTATTTTTTTTTCTTAGCCTTTATAATAAATATAAAACTGGTGTTGACATTATGGACCAAGTGCTCAGAAGATGAACAATTCAGCGGCGCTGTTATAATGGCAATGTTCGTCAACAAAGTGGCCAATATCCCGCTAGCAGCATATCTAATTAATTTTGAAATTAATGAAATGATCAAAAATGAAACAGTGGAACGACGACTGAACTGGAGTTTCGATTGACTTATAAAAACAATTTTAATTCGAAATAAGCTTTGTAAATAGAGTTATGTACACTTATTAGAATTTTTGAAAATCCGCGTATGTCGAATTTTTATTTTCAATGCACATACTCATGTGTTGTGCCAAAAAACTTAAGCGTTGTGTTTTTGTTGTAATACATTAAACCAATTTTCATTTTTGCGTACCTTTTTTCTCTTGCCGATGCTGCTGCTTCTCGATCGTGAAACCAAATTGGTAAGGTCGTTCAGTTGATGCAGCCTCAGTACAGGGCAAATAGCTGTACAGTACTGTTAACTATAATTAAAGATCATACAGTATATAAAAACCAAAAACAAAAAACATTATAACAGTACATCATAGTGCGGCCAAAACTTACGCATGCAAGAAAAAAGAATGTCATCACTGAATGCGAATGCATTTTTCTATTTTTGTCACCAAAGTTATTGCAAAGACAAATGAGTTATTGTGTAATACGCCAAAGAACGTGAATAGCGGAGACTACGTCAACTTAATTATACTTATTTGAGTGTTTTAAAGGTTGGCTAGGCTTTTTTTATTTACTTTAAGAGTTTCACTACACCACAAAAGGGATTGAGGTTAAGGGAAATATTTTTTTCTTTTTTTCAAATTTTAAGGTTATGTGTTTGCATTTGAATGTTAAATATTTTTTAACTTTTTTAATTTAGCATTTTTTAATATTCTATATTTTGTTTTTTTTTTTTTTGTTTTTTGATTTTTGGACACGCACTGCACTGCACACCAACAAGAACTTCGAAATTTCAGCACTTTTGTCGCACTTTGCTTCACGTCTGCGTGATCGTAACTAATAGCGCGTACAAATCGGCTGCTTCAGAATATGAATTGTGGATATGTATGATTTTAACAACACCTGCGCGTCTGTCTGTTCGTACGCTTGCTTAGAGCGTCGTGTTTGGCCACCGTTTTGAAACACACCTCGCTGTGTTCTGTGCGAAATTGACAAAGTTAATATTATTAAGTAAATATTATAAAACATTAGAACAACGCCAAACGATGCGCCGCCGCTCAAGTATTGCTCCGACGACTTGAACATTTATGCAAATGCATTGGTATTGGTGCAAGAAGGAAATTCTCGTTTCGCTATCACTGACTGCCAAGTGCTACACAGAATACAAGCACACTAATACAAATGCGTGTAGAAAGAATCATGTCAGTAAAAATTAATTAAAACGCCTACTACATATGTATATATGTGTGAACACAAACATGCATGCTCATTCAAAACAGAACACTAGCAACGAACGGCACTTTTACTCACTACACTGGGTGGTTATGCTCATCGAACCCCTGCAACAACAAATGTGCGTAGCAAACCTGTCATCTATTGTGAATGTGTCACACGTGTCTAACGAGATGTTAAGCGTCGCAGACTCTCCGTGAGTAAATTGTTTAAGCCTTTTATAGTACATATGTATATGTAGATGTAAATATGAATGAGCGTTTGTTTGTCTATACGTCTGTGTTATCTTTTATCAATCGTTTTCCCGTCAGCGTGTTGGTCTGAAGGTAAAACGTGTTGGATTGTTGAATTGCGAATTGGTTGGGTGCTTTCGAAAAATTAAAAAAAAAGAGAAAATAAAAAACGAAATCACAAAAAATTAACTATGAAATAATATAAAAAATCAAACAAAATATAATAAACAAAAAAGAAAAGAAAAGAAATTGAAACAAAATGATATGAAATCAAATAAAAAAATATTAAAATAATATATAATATAAAATATAAAAGAAATGAAATGAAATAAAATAAAATAAAATAAAATAAAATAAAATAAAATAAAAAAAAATAAGATAAAGTAAAGTAAAAAAAAAAATAAAATAAAATAAAATAAAATAAAATAAAATAAAATACAATAAAATAAAATAAAATAAAATTAAATTAAATTAAATTAAATAAAACAAATTAACATGATACAAAAAAATTAAAATAAAATTAAGTAAACTAAAGCAAAATAAAATATAAACAAATAAATTTATATAAAAGCGAGAAAATAAAAAAAAAACAAAATAAATGAAAAAAACTAAACCAAATATAAATAAAAAATAAAAAAAAAAATATTATAAAATAAAATTTAATAATATTAAAAGTTAAAATTAAATAAACCCAAATAAAATACAATGCAAATGAGTATAAAATAAATTAAAGAAAATGAAATGTACGTGAAAAAAATAATAAATATTTGATAGAATTACAAAAATAAAATAAAACGAAGAGGACAAATAATACTAGAAAAATAAACTTAATCAAAAAAGATAAATTAAATAAAACATATAATAAATATATTAAAATTAATTTAATTAAAATCAAATTAAATGGGAAAAAATGAAATAAAATAAGATAAAATAACATAAAACAAATTAAAATGAAATAAAGTAAAGAAATATTATAAAAATCCAATACAATAATTATAGTGAAAGCAATTAATTCATAAGTATCTGCATTTTTGGAACGATGACGGTTTTTGACGATTTTATGATTCTGTTTTCGTTACTGAATAATAACTTTAATTATTCTTTTTGTTGAATATGCTGATTGTTGATTGGTTTTGTTAATATTGTTTTATGCACTTTAGTAAAATAGTAAAAAAATGTTAGTATCGACATTATCTTACAAACAACACCATATAAATCTTATGAATGTGCATACTAAATTGTTGCCAAAGACAGATGTTGCAGTTAAGTAGTTGCTGCCACATTAGCTACCAGTTTCCTAGTTCTTCTTCTTCGCATACAAATATTATCAAAGCAGTTAAAAGATTTTAATAATAAAAAAAATTGATGTGATTGTCTGTGTCGTGTTTGTTCAATGCTGATTGGAATGGGTACTGCCAGTATTATTTATATCAGCTGTGATTAACATACATTTGTATTTATCTGTATGTACCATACACGTATGTACCTACACATAACATTATATAATATAAATAGTATAAATTGTTATGTAAATTAATATATCCGCATTTTAATGTCAACCTTGTAAAATAGTTATTTCTATAAACAAATGACCAATTTCGATATAAACCAAACTGCTTGCAGAGCTTAAAATGGAAATAATACCGAACGGTAAACATTAGGCAACTCCGTAACTCCTCCAGAAATGTATGTAAAAAATATAAAAACATAGAACAATCTGCAGAGAAATATTTTCGATTTTATTTTGAATGGGAAACACCCTTTCGTTCCACTGCCTCTCAAGCGACCAATATTATCCGCACTTCAATTGCTGCGTGGTCGCTGTAATTATAAATATTTCTTGCTTTACAACTTTTCGCAATTTATTTAAATAATTTTGATTTAGCAATATTAACAATTGTTTGTCCATAACACAACTCCACACGTTTTTAGTAAATACAGCATTTTGTATTCACCTCAAATGCAACCTGTATTACAAGGTCATTCGTATGGATCCATTCGGTTGACGGCTTAAAGGAAATTATTTTGTAATAGATTTTTAATCTCACAGCCCATCAGTTGTGCGCAGACTGCATTTAATGTCGAATTGCCGTTATGCGTTTATTATATGCCCAAATACAGACAAAATGTACATACTTACGGTATGCCATAAAATCAACGATTTCAGCAAACTTCAACTAAATGCTGTCGATATTAACATTGATGTCTTTTTATTTGGTCAATGACATTGCCTGCAGCGCGTAATGTTGCCCCAAAGAAGCGCCGCAAAGCTATTCACGTGTCATGTTGATGCCTAAAATTTATAATTCTCCCATATACGTATATTTATTCTGTGCATCTACATAGACGCGATAAATACGAGTTTCGACAAATTATGAACGAAAATAAAATAATATTTCTTTTGGTCTGCGTTCTTTTGTTTATTATTTGTTTTATCAAATTTACCATTTAATGACTTTTATACATATATGAGTTTTAATAACTGTTATTACATTTATAAATACATACTTATGTATAGACAGTTATTTTTATGATATTTAATGATAGATTATACTTAAATATATATGTAAATAATTTAATTGGCCTGTTGTAAAATGACAATTTCATTCGTGATACAAAAACATCAAAAATTGTTCAAAGACCAGATGGGTTGTTGGAATTAGTGCAGGCGGATCAAGATTTCTTAGCAAATAATGAGTTGTGTGATATGTTAAATATGCACGTTTTTGCTCGATAACATTTTTGGCATTTTAAAGCCAATATCGCAAGCCTCTGCCATACAAACCCTTGTCATTATTGAAAAAATATGGATAAATCGATTTTCATAGGCTTTTCTTGGGGCCAACTCTTCACTAGTCAAATCATGCGCCATACACAGGAATTGACGGTAGATACTTCGTGCATTGTGTGGATTATAATGGATGCATAGAAACCTCAAAGCCAAGTTATGGGAGCTACAGGTGAGCCACTATTGATGTGTGCTGTCTAACGTTCTACTAAATAAATTCGCCTTCATTTGGTCAAATCCAAAGCTGACTATAGAGGTCAACATTGAGAGTTTGGATGAAGCGTGGCAGCTCATTGTTGACGATTTCTTGCCAATTCTACCAAACACAACAACAAAACTTTCCTAGTTGTAAATCCTGTCTTCGTGGCAGTTCATACCGGCCCATTACCCTTCGACCATGACCAAGACCGTGTGTTTGACGTTGCTATAAGTGCTGGTGTATCACCATCCGCTTCCCAGATGAGTAGATTATGTTACGATTTAGCAGCGCTTCGCAGATGCAGATTCGGTTCACTTGGCTTTTTCTTGTTAACTTTTGCTCCCAAAAATCGAGCTTCTTTGTTCATACAGCATTTTTCAAGTGGTTCCAAGCTAAAGTCATCTTTTAAAAATAATAAATTTCTTTTTACTTGCCCTATTATTAATTGAAATAAGTTATACTTATCTGCAGCTTAATTCCTTTAATGACTGATTTCCGTACTTTCAGCTTAATCTTCACCCCCCAAGTAATTACTTCCTAATTGAAAAGTGACAAGCAATTTAAGATATCATCAATATTTTGACATCATAAAATTACCAAATGGAAACACAGCTCAATGCTGCTTGTTCAATTACGCCAAAGCCTTTAGTGTAAGCATTCGACGATATAAAACGATATGAAACAAAAATGCAGGAAATTCATTGAAATAAACACGACGTTTCGAAATTGTTGTTGTTATTGTATTTTTTTACCTTAAAGTACGCATCTCACACGAATTGACTGCTATGATTAAAAAAGAGAATAAGAGAAAAAGGGGAGGAGAAAAAGCGCAAAGTATGCTTATTTGCTATTGTGCAGTACTTCATGATTTACTCAAAAGAATAATATAAAAAAAAAAATAATATAAACAATTGTGTAGGTATGTATGAACATTCTCTTCATACATACATATGTACATGCATATCAGTTAACCAACAATTTGATTTATGCAGCGCAGTATGCTTGCTGCCAGCGCGATTACTCAAACATTGTCGTTTGTCAATTGAACACCCGAACAAGATGAGCGACTACAAAATCAAGTGGTAAGCTGTTAAAACGAATGTGTGAATGGATAAACATAAGCGAGCCGGATGTGCAAATAAATCTTTGTATATTTACATATTATAAACAACTACAAGCCCTCTAGTTGCGACTGGGCTAAAGTGAGA